GCCATACCTTGCTGTGCTACTGTTCACTCACAGCAATTCATTCCATAAGTGCCACAAAAGCCAAAAGCAACTGTATAATTTTAAGAAATAAAATAAATGTCCAAAGAGATTCAGATAATATAATGGCTATCTAGTGACTGAATACAGATTTTTAGTGGTTCAATGACAACATGTACTTTCACTTACGCTTCCAATGGTTGTCATCCAAAAGATATTAAGTGTGTCCAAATATCCTTCAAGACAGATCATAACTCACCATTAAGATGATGCAAGGCCCTATTAGGTTGACAGGCAACTTCCCCATTGGTTCAAGGTGCTCGCTCATCTCTGAGCTTGTACTCAATAGGGAAAAAGTAATGGCCAAACAAAAGACACTATGCAGAATGGCTAATTGCCAGATATACCACCAATAAATCAGCTGGACCCCATTAATAAGTAATGGTGCTCAATTTTCTGTTAATTCAGATACTCCCTGCAAACCCAGGGAGCTCTTTAAAAGTAACTGCAGTAATAATTTCCCTTTATGTAAGTCAAATAAAATCATTTAATCCTGCAGTTGTATCCTGTAGAAATAATCATTGCAATAAATTATTTAAATATTTTTCAACACAGATTCTAGGATTCCAGAGTCCTAGGTTCACTCTTCCAGCCTGGCTGTCAATATATACGCAGGTGGCTGTCTCTGAGTTTCCCTGCTGCTGTTGGTAAAACAGGAAAGCACAAAATATTACATAAATAATACATAAGTCCAGATTTAATCACTATTGACTATAATACCAAAATAGTCTGTTTCCCCTGACAAACTCTGCATGCTTACTTGATTCTCCAGATTTTACCACGTATGGCACAAGAGGGATATAGAAAAGTGTTTTTAAACAAGAAGGATATCCAGAAGTGCTCAACAGGGAATCCAAGGGTTTGCTGTTAATTGCTGTGAAGTGGAAGTAGATCCCTTATTCTTGCAGTTTTTCCTCCAAGAAAACACTCATATATGTTGCTCTTTTTTTTTTTCTTCCTAGCAGGCAGAAGGAATGATGAGATATGGTCTCTCCCTAAGGACTAACGTGTCCAAAACCAATCTAAGCAATTGCTATGACATTGGTCAAAAATATAGTAGCATCTTCTTTCCAGCCGCATTACGACGACTTAATCTGCGGCCAAGGATTTCAGTGTCAATGTTTAAAAACATCCCAACTTCCTTCCCAGGCTTGCTGCAAGGAACTAATGAGATGATGTATGCAACAGCACTCAGTAGAACAGTAAAATGTCATACACATGCTGGACATGTATAGGATATTATTATTAATACAGTTTAGCAATAATAATAATAAGCACTTAAACTCTCGATAAAAATAGCCCTCCGCGGTCTATTAATCCAAGCCCTGTCTACAGCCTGGTACTTATGTGCAGCATATCCTCTGAGAGCTATTCTGGACTGGATGCATACATTTAAAAAACATAATCACTCCCAAATTACAAATTATGAATTATTTTTCAGAAGACTACAGTAGCTATTATATTCGGTAAACATATTTAAAGAACAATATAAGCTTTTCAAAGCTGTATTAAGAAATGTTATACAGCAATTCCTTTGTTGGTTTTCAAAAGGCTGAGCTGGTATATAGAAAGGTTGAGCTATCAGAGCCGCCTTCTTTTTCTTTTTTAATTTTTTTAAAATTTTATTTCTGAGAGAGACAGCATGAGCAGGGGAGGGTCAGAGAGAGAGGGAGACACAGAATCTGAAACAGGCTCCAGGTCCTGAGCTGTCAGCACAGAGCCTGACGCGGGGCTCGAACCCACGAACCCTGAGATCATGACCTGAGCCAAAGTCGGAAGTTGGACACTTAACCGACTGAGCCACCCAGGCGCCCCTATCAGAGCCTTCTTCTTAACAACCAGCCCAAAGGGCATCTCCCAAACTCTTATTTTCCTGATCATGTAAGATGGCCCCATCTTCGCCTACCAATACTAACCATACAGATAACTCAATTAATAAAGTTAGTGCCTAGGAAGACACTGGGATCCAGGCAATATGAATTTCTGGCGCATAAGCCACAAGAATTCCTGCCGGCTTTAGTGTTGCTTTCAGTACTTTTAAATAAATACATACAAATTTTCTCACTTTATCTTCAGTACTTGAAATCTATTAAAAAAAGATCAGGACCTTTAGTTCAAATTAATAACTAGTGTATGATGTGCATAAATTTGCTTAATTGAGTTCAAAAGGCTCTAAGTCTAAATATATAAAATAAAATAAATGACTTACTGCTTCAATTCTATAGTACATTTAAATTCAATGTTCAAGATATGAAGAGTATTTTCCTACCATCTCTTGAATCAATCAAGTTAACATTTGGATTAGAGAAAATAAATATTCATATGACAGTTCCTGTTATGAGTTCTTATAGACAGAGGTTACCAAAAAGGGATAAACTCAGATTTCTCCACAAAGCCAGGTGAAGAATGCAGGTCCCTAGCCTTCGGGCAGGATCAGCATAAGGACATAGGTCATTACATGTGCCTAGCACATCCCATATCCACCAAAGCACCAGCTTTACCCATCACCACACAAAATCCTAGGAAGACCTGACAGACTGTGAGAACTACACAGATGTTGCCAAGTCCCTCAATGATTTTGTTCCATGACTGTTGTGTTATACATTATATATTTCCAACACTGAGCCAGGGAAACTCACTGGTGACACCAATATAAAGAGCTACAATCTGCATGATTTTTTCCATCAGAAGCAGAGTTTCCCAAAGGCTTGTAAAGGTGCCATAATTTTCGATAATATGCAAATTAACCTTAAAATGAAATTAGTAGTTATATATTTATTTTCATGGACATTTAAAAAATATAACTAGCAGACTAACTTCAATTTTTTTGAGATGTGACTATTCTTAAATTTTTTTATTCAAATTTAAAATGACACACTTTTAACTTCTGATGTGTTGATCTGAATTTTAAAATTTTAAGAATGTAACAGTATGTGGATACAGTTAAAGGAATAACAATAATGGTGGTTTGCAAATTTCTGAATATTTAGAAGTTCCAAGGCCTTTTTTGTTACTAGAAGTGTATTTGTTTTTAATATTTAGTAGTTCAGGATATCAAAAGTTTAAATTGAGAAATTTACAAGTATAAGGATTTTTACTCGTTAGGGTCCCTTAATGACCTATTCATTGATAGGGTGAATGTGAGTAATTATTTGGATAATTTCTGTGCACTAAACTGTGGCTATATATATACGTATACATACATACGTAAACACATAGAAATTACATATATTTCTCTATACAGAAACATTCAAGGTTAAAACTGTGACCTTGCAAGATGCAGACAAAAAATTTTAGTTTTAAATCTTTTAAAAATGTTAAAAGGCTCCTGATGCCCTGCTGGGATGAGTGACTGAGACCTGGGGCAGGTGCTTTGACCCTTCTCTAGGGCCCATCTACAAAACACGGGCAACAATAATACTTGGTTAATAATAAACACTTGGTTGGATGTGAAGAAATGATTTTTAAAATGCTTTTTAAAAACATATATAATAATTCTGTTGTTAATATTATAACCTTTATATAGGGAAGGTCCACAGTTCTCCAAGAGGATTAAAAACAAAACGAAAAACAAAAAAACAAAAAACAAAAGTACATACTCCTCTGCCCCTGCTTTTTTGTAACTGAGCTCACCTCCAGGGAGTTCAGAAGTACAACAAACAACCGCAGGGCCAGATCCATTCACTACAGCACTCAGAACCAGCACCTGCACTCAGCAACAGTTACCCCAGTAGTTACCTCAGGTCAGCACTTGGCTTCCCAACTCCTACACCTGCAACAAAGTCTGCAGCACAGCAAAGCTCAGAGCTTTTCCCCAGGAAGGGAACAGAGGGCTGCTGTACAGAATCTACTACAGTGGGACATGCAGGCCAGGCTCATTGAGGGAGCTCCTGAGATAGCAGGGGTGGCAAAGGGGACACGCAAAAGTGTGGGTGCTGGGGAGGAGGCTGTGTCAAGGGTCTCAAACCCAAATGCCTTCTGGGTTGGAATGGATAATGAACAAAACTGGACAAATGTGGGCCATGCTGAACTGGTGAGCAAATGCCTCAGCTAACAAAGGTAGCCATCACCCAGTGCTAGCGGACTGTCATCAAATAAGAACTGACTTCAGGAAAAGTTGGAAATCATTTTTTAAGTGAAATCTCCTACTTATTAATAACTCCCCCCAAAATGTTAAATCCTCCATAAACCAAATAAAAACCAAGTCTGTGGGCCTCATACCATTCCACAGCTGCCATCTTGTTAGCTTAGCACTACTGTACCGACCCACGAGACAGGTGGAGAAAAAGCGAATCACAGTGAGGCAGCTTTTTTTAGCCATTTTCTAATGTCATGTCGAAACAAAAAAAGATAAGCCTGTAAACTAGAGCTAACAACACCCTTGCAGGGGTGTTGAGAAGACTGTCCAAAATGCCAGTTTTCACGATCCTCTGAGGAAGCAGTTTACCAGGCTTGTCTTTGGCCTCGATCAGGGTAGTGCCATTACCTCTTGCCTACAGGACCCTGTATTTTGAAGGACGACAAATCAACGACCGCTGCAAACATGGCCACCAGCCACCTGGCTTCCCCACAAAGAACTAACAGATTTTCTGCATTCCCCCACCTTCCGCTCAATCTCTGGGATTCAGATCTCATTAAAGACCAGGACTGAAGGGCGGTGCACCAGCAGTGCCAAGGAAATCGCCTTCAACGTTCATTCCTAATAAGCACGGCTATCCTGGGCCGGTTCAACGCTTGCTGTCCTCACTTCACTGCAACTGGGGAGAGCTTCGAAATCCAACAAGGAACCGTCTCCAAGAATACCACGTTCATTCCACACCTGACTCCGACACCGCCATCTGCTCTCAGAGGATCCTTTATTCCCGAACAGGAACTCAATTACCTGCCTTTCCATCCTGGAGGAGGCCTTCCAGAGAAGCAGGCACACAGGATGTGCTAAAGCCATGAACTCCGTCCAAGGCAGCTGCAGTCACAGGGTTATGAGCTGCGGGCGTTCTCTGCCCTGGTCCGCGCGCGCGTGTAGCTCCTCGAAGTGGAGCGTGAGCCCCGCCCCCTCCGCTGGCTGCTGCCTGGTCACTCCCACAATGCTCCGCAATGGGCACAGCATGCAGTTGCAGCTGTGCGCAGAGGCGGCCTTCCCTCCGAAATGGAAGTGATTATTAGTTCCTTTAATCTTACCTAGCTCGCTAAATAGGAGACGCAGAGATTGTGTGTGTGTTATCTGTCCTGATGAAGCAGGAGAGCTGTTTAGAAGATCACGCGGTTTCTGTGCAATGTCGTAAGATCTAAGCACTGAAACTCAAAAGCATTTCCGAAGTATTTGAAAGCCAGATTTGTCCCCGGATCTGTAAACCCTACTTAATCCAGGTTTAAAAAACAAAACAAAACAAAACAGCATATAAGAGGACATCAGATATCCTTAGTTTGCATCTCAGCCAGAAGGGTTCTATTCAAAGTCCCCCTCACCAGCCAAGCTTGCAGACAAAACTCACAGGTGTCTGTACTTGGCCTCCTTTGTTTTTCCAGATCATGGTGCCCTTCATCATCAGAAAATAGACCCTCAAGAAACCTTCCACCTCCTGGTCTACCTGGCCAAGCAATCGACCCCCTTAACCCTCCTTGGGCCAGCTGCAACCCTCTCACAATCTTAAGAAGAAGAAAAAAAAAAAAAAAAAAACATCAAAAGGCCCTACCCAACAGAAGCTCCCGCCAACATGGCCTTTGACTTCTGGTCCCTCTCTTCTTTGGAGAGAGTGGTTTCAGTGGATTTCAAGAGTTAAGGGCATATTTTAAAACCAGTTAGTCCAGGAGATTTATATATACATGTCCTTAACTCTCAGTATAGACCCAAAAAGTAATAGAACTGAAAGAAATGTTAGAGCTTAATAGCCAATATTGACCTGGAGGACTTTGCTCTTTGGGAAACACAGGTGGATATGCTTAGATTAAGAACATATTATAATTACCTTTTATCAGAAGAAAGCTTTTAAATAAGGATGTAAGAATTTGCCCTACTGGGTAAAGCAAGTAAGATTTAAAAGCCCCCAATGAAATAGGCAATTACAATGAAATATGGTCCTGTGTATGCTGGCTTCAGGGATGTGAGACATGCCAGTGTGGAACATGGTACAAAAAACTAACCAGCATAGGTATGTCAGCACCAATGGGGGGGAAGCTGAACGGACACCATCCTTCACTCAGTTCCCTAAACAGAGGCAAGACCAAGAAATGGGGGACGGACTGTGGAAATGATTCTCAAAATCAGTCCTTCTTTTTCAATGACTGAAAATCTCAAATCTGACAGTACCAGTTTCTTTTTCTAAAGGCCACCATCTGGAGTGAAATCCACTTCATCCTGTGAGTGTCAAGGCCCTCACTATTCCCAATGGGAGATAAATAAATATATATATATTCAAATATCTATATATATATATTTGAGTATGTATATATTTGAAAATATATATGAATATTTGAACTCCCAAAGACTAAGCAAGAAATCTCTGTGCTAGCCAAACCAAGACACCAGAATAGTGCCTGCTCAGCTGCACAGACCCCACTGTGACCATGCCCCAGCCCACAGGACAGCAACAGGACAGGCTGGAAGGAGGAAAGCACAAAGGGGACGCCTGAGCAGAGCTGACAGTGTCGTGTCTGAGAGTAAGCCCCACATTTGGGTCATGCTGGCACAGCAATCACCTGAAAAGAAATACTTGAAAGCCAAAGAGCACCACAATATAGTCATAAAGTTGGTCTCAAAATACCAGTCCTGTAGTTATCAAAAAAAAAGTTGGGGTAATCTCACAAACAAAGCATACTTGTCCCCAGTCCTACACTCTAATCTGCTCTCCTAACCCACAAATAACAAAGATAAGAATTCATGTTTGCAAAGCTCAGGATCCAAGAGGCAAAGCTAAAGCAAGGCTGAAGCTATGTTGCTATGGCCTTGCCTCTGAAAAGTGGCCATAGAAACAGCAACCTGGGGATACAATGTCAAAGAAGCAGCCAGAATGCAAAGGAAGAATGCTGGAAGGCCATATTTCTCATGCCCATCCAGTGTTCCTGAGAGGTAGCTACACACAAAACTAGCCAGTCACTTCCCCCAAACAGTTCAGTTCCCTATTGCGTAGTTGCAGGTTTTAGGATACTGAGGGGACAGTTCTTTCTGAGAAAAAGGGACAAGTGTTCAAGAAAGAACACAGGCAAAGTTTGAGCTGGCCAGTAGTAATCATGAGGATAACAGCTAAATGTACTGAGTGTTTACTTAGTTTAATTAACTTAAACTAAGTTCAGTGCTCATAGAGACTATGTAACTTAATATAATTATAAAATTAACTCAACATGCAGGAAGATGCATACAGAAAGCATTGCAAAAGGAACAGCATGAGCAAATGTAAGGAAGCAAGAAAGTGTTGTCATATTCAAGAAATGATGAGGTGAAAGAAATAATGAGTAGGTTGAGAGAAGAGTTGAAGCAGGGATAGCAAATGCTTCCAGGAAGCCTTCCCTCCTGGCAATTCCCCATTCTGATCGCTGCTCTGCATATTGTATCCCCCAACACACACTTATAATGCACAGTTCACAGGATGTGCCTGTCAATATAATATTTGGCTGGAAGTACCAGACACCTATATCAGAAGGCAGTTTACTGCTTTCTCACATAGAAACCCAGAGATAGGCTGCCCAGGCCAGTATGGCAGTCCCCATAAACACAGGGCCCCAGGGTCCTTTCAGACTTTACTTCTCCATCCCTAGGTAAGGCCCTCATCTGCAGGCTCCAATATGGTCACAGGAGCTCCAACAGTTACATCCGCATCCAGTGAGCAAAAAGACATGAAAAAGAAGGGCCAAAGGGGGCAGAGCAGGCAAATAAGGGAGGGTCACAGAAGCTGTCAGAGAACAATTCCTCTTACACAGCATTGTCCAGACTTGGCACTGCCCACATCTAGCTGCAAGGGAGGCTGATGAGATGCATCTGTACTCTGGGTGGCCATGTGCCCAGCTAAAAACCAGGAATTCTGTTACTGAAAATGAAGAGAATAGATGTTGGGGGACAACTACCAGCCCTTGACCACAGTAATTTATATAATCTCTTGTCTCTAGAACATTTTCTTTGACTCAACTAGATCACAACTTCCTTAAGAGTAGTCTTTTACCCTTTAACAAATTTCATGGCATCTTGTTCATACCAAGCATCCAATAAATGAAGTAGGAAATAAATTGATGAATAAAAAATAAAGCAAGCAAATTTATTCCTTGGTAGCCCTTAATTCATAGCTGAGCTACCCATAAATAGTACAACCATATGAAAATGAAACGGATTTCTTTTTCCAGTATGTATCATGGGAAGATAAAGACTTTTTAAGAGCCATAATCATTAATACCACTAGAAAAAGAATTTTTTTGAATGGCTCAGTTGGTTAAGCATCTGACTTCGGCTCAGGTTGTAATCTCGCAGTTTGTGAGTTCGAGCCCCCCATCTGTTCTGACGGCTCAGAGCCCAGAGCCTGCTTCAGATCCTGTGTCTTCCTCTCTCTCTGCCCCTCCCCTCCTCATGCTCTGTCTCTTTCTGTCTCTCAAAAAATGAATAAACATTAAAAGAAGAAGAAGAAACAAGTTTATTTTTTAACAAACGAACCAGGCCCTATGTATCCAAAGGATAGCCTTCATCTTCAGTGCAATCTTTATAGCCCTCTGCACGTTATGTTTTACAATAACCAATTCTGTTGAATTTTCCACCTTCTGAGGGTATATTTGGAATTTGGAAGCATACAAAAGGGACTCAGAACCAAGTCTAATAAATTATAAGCTAGATGATCCAATATTATTACCGTTTAGTTTTTTTTTTTTTTTAATAATGGTAAAGTAACTGGCCTAGATTTCTCATATGCTTTTTAAAATACCTGTTGAAAGTCATTTTAGGAGTACAATTCCTAAATCTTTTCAAGAATGGTGAATTAGCTAAATGTTATAATTAGTTGTTACTTATCATATTTATTACTTCCGAATAATAATAATACATAGACAAAGATATTAACATGATATATGTATTTATTTATCCCAATTATGTAATGAACAGGATTATGCATTATGGATAATGCAAGTTAGATTTTATATTTATATATACATATATGTCTACACATACACCACATACACATATATAATTATATATGTTATATTTATATATATATATTTGCACTATTATTTGATGAATAGGATTATCCAGAATGGAAAAGCAAAATGTTTACCAATCCAGACCTTCCATAATGTAAAGCATTTTACTGGGCTCAACATTATTATAGATGGTTACCGAAAAGCAAACCAAAACAAACAAAAAGATAATACTCTGATAGGCAAATAAAAATGCAATAAGAATATATAATCAGTTTAAATCATGTAATAATGTATTTTCAGATAAACTGAAGGCATTTTACAGACATCAATTTTCCTAGGGGAAAACAAAGGCCACATCTCTTCTGCCAGCAATTCTTGGCTGTTTATACAATGCTGAACCATTATCTGATATGTGGAGAATTTTGTATTAACGACAAGGAAAAAATTGAATCAATAATGTTGTTTAGAATGGACACAGCACTTCTCATCTTCCTAGCACTTTACCAACATTGATGAATTAAGCCCCCCACTATCCCAGTGAGACTAGAACAGAGAGTCATACTCTCTCACTCAGGAAAGGAGACAGAGATAGGTCAGATCAGCTGCCCTCAGCAATGTGGGGAGTTAGGGTCAGGGCCAGCACTGAGGTGAGAACTCAGCATGTAGAGTAATAAGCACTACATGCAGCACACTCAAGCCTTCTACTGCACTCCTACCATCTTCAGAGAACAGTCTTAAAGCTGGGGCGCCTCATTGTCTGAGGCAGTGTGGAGACTGTGTTTTCAAGTCAAATATCTATCAATCAACACACATCGATTTTCTTTAATTATCTCCACAGAGCAGACTTGATTCTGAGGAGCTTATGTGATTTGAAAAATGTATCACCTATTTGTCAGACATGTATAATTTATGAAGACTCTTTCACTCAAGGTCTGTAGTCCAAAGCTGGCAATCTGTGAATTATTAACATGTTATTAGACATACCCTATTAAGATTTGCAGACTTTCAGCCCCTTACACAAAAGCAAGAGAGACACTCCGTAACTTTTCACTTGCACTATTTAGCTCAGAAGATTCTGATTCTATCACCACCCTGTGAATCCTTCCCAAGAACTGCCTGATACAATAAAACTATCAAAAAATTATCTTTACTTTAGTAATCAAACTCTTTGCTTTAAAACAAGTCTGCTTTATGGAGTGCCTGGGTAGTTCAGTCAGTCGAGCATCTGACTTCAGCTCAGGTCATGCTCTCCAAGTTTGTGAGTTCAAGCTCCACATTCGGCTCTCTGCTATCAGAATAGAGCCTGCTTTGGATCCTCTGTCCTCCTCTCTCTCCCTGCCCCTCTGCCACTCGCTCTCTCTCTCTCAAAAATAAATAAACATTAAAAAAAATAAAAATAGAACAAATCTGCTTCAGAATGACTCTACTTTCCTGTAGAATTTTCAGTGACTTTTTTTCCATGCATAGTGCTTGCTCATGCTAGTATTAAACTAAAGAGAAATTGTAAGGATATTTTTATTACCAATAAATGCTCCTGAATTGGAGCACAGATCATCTATTTTACAGGCAATGGACTTAAAAAATAATGACTAATATTGAATTCATGATTCCCTTTATATTACGTATCATTAGGTAATATTAAATTTCGATGTATCTAAAAAAACATGGCAGGAATTTCTATTAATCTAGCAAGATAATTAACTTTATATCTATTATTGTCTTATGATAGCAAAAACCAAGCAAGAATAGACATCTCCCCATTCGGAAAGAGGAATAAGTGGGTGTTAGGGTGTGACCAGTTTCATTTAATCTCTACAATTCTAATTTCAGGTTAGTGAGAGTTAATAAATATGTATTGATCATGTGTCCTGGGAACAGCGGGGATCGAGCAGAGAATGAGACCAACAAAGACCCCAGAGAGGGGGTCAGGGCAGATGTCTTTAAGTAAGCACTCAGAGCTGAAGGGAGATGAGGGATGAGGGTAAGGCAGGCAGAGCTGCTGACCTGTGAAGACCCTGAAGGGAGAGAACCGAGAATGTGGTTGGAGAAGACCGGAAGTCCAACAGGGAGGGGAGAAGCCTGGAGCCGGATGCTGCAGGGCAGCAGGCTATCTTCAGCTTCATCTGATGACAAGAGGAAACCATTAGAGGGTTTTGGGCAAGGAGGTAGCACAAGTGGGGGAAGAGCCTCAGGGATGTGTGCAACAAATCACTGTGAACAAAAAGGCCCTGATTGTCCAGCTCTTTTTCAAAACCAATCTCAAATCTGAGTTTGAGATGATGTTTTTAAATTGAACAGAAAGAAGAGGTCACCTTCTCCAAACCACATGAAGTAAACCCAGTCTTCTAGAAGTTGTTTTTCACATGCAATGCTACTACATCTCTTGGAGGTTGGTAGGAGAGAAAAGGTGATAATGGGGAAGGGGGATGAACTGTTTTATTATAATCTATTCCCCATATACCCAAAAGCATAAAGAAATAACTAATACCTTCATGCTCACCAGCAAGATTTAGCCAAGATTAACATCTTACAAGATTTTAGGTTTCCTTTTTTGTTGAGAAATAAAATATTACAGACAAAAAAACTAATCCCTCTGTGGATATCTTCTCTTCCTTCCCCAGAGGTAGCCATTATTCAAATTTTTGTGAACGCTTATTCTGCATTTTATTTTTAGTTTGATTATAAATGTGTGTGTATATATATATATATATATATATATATATATAATATGTAGTCTCGTATTATGCTTTTAAACTTTAAGTAAATTTTTTTTGTACTGTATGTATAATTCTGCAACTTGCTTTTTTTTTTTTTTACCCAACAGTTTTTTGAGATATATTCATAATGGTACATGTAGTTCTAGTTCATTCACTTTACTATTTTTGTTTGTTTGTTTAGAGAGAGAGACAGTGCATGTGAGTTGGGGAAAGGGACAGAGGAAGAGAGAGAGAGAGAGTGAGAGAGAGAGAATCCCAAGCAAGCTCCACACTCAGCACAGATCCTGACTCGGGGCTGGATCCCACGACCCTGGGATCACGACCTGAGCCAAAAATCAACAGTCAGTTAACCAGCTGAGCCACCCAAGTGCCCCTCTAGTTCATGTACTTTAACTACTGCACAAATATTGTATGATTATAGTACAATATACTTATCAATTCTCCTGTTGATAGGTATTTGGACATTCTTTTTATTTTTTTCTGATCACAAACAATATTGCTGTGGATATCCTTGGGTTTATCTATCTCCTGATGCACATATGTGAGAGTGTTCCTGAGAGACAATATCTTTGTAAAATGTTTTAACACATTAGAGGAAAGCAGTCCACTAAATTGAAGTAATATCCTAATTGCTATTGTGACAACAATGACAGTAATATGTTTAGGTTACAGGGAATAGTCCAAAGCCACCATTTTCAGGAAATTTACTCAAAACTATATGAAATCACTTATATTGTGATGAATGGGCATGTAGAAGTCAAACAGAACTTGGTCAAGTTTTTAATTCAGTGGCTGAAGCTCTACAGAATCTGATCTAAGCTGAAAATCTGGCTGAAAAGAGCCGAGTGTTTCTAATTTAAGACATATGCCAACTAGATCTAAATAGCAAGGAAAAATGGGAATAGATGTACTGGGAGAAAAAAAATCTTGACAGGTTCAGGTTAGCTGCTCACTGAACAAGTCTCCCATAACTCCTGAAGCTCATCCAACATAAAGAGTTATACAGAATTAGCTGCAAATACCTGAAATTTTTCAAAACCTGATTTATTTTTTCTTAATTTTTTATTTTCAAAAACTAACAATTTAGGGCCAGGCTGGAGTCAGGATTTCCATTCACATCTTACTGCTTGCTGCTTTGTTTCATCATCACTCATCGACAACACTCAAACAGCCACCTTGTCAGAACTTGCCCTTTGGCTAAGTGAACTGAGAATGAAAATTCCTTTTAAACTAAACTGTAATCTCATGTGGGCAAGAGGCAAGGTTTCAGTGGGAAGAAATTAGGCACAGGATCCATCCCCTCGAAGTTGGCTGAGGGTGAAGATCTTAGATCTCCCCACTTGCCTCTAAAGTGCAGAGCCATGCTTTTGAACAGCCCTAAGACGCCCCACAAATTGAGTCCTCAATACTGCCATTGCTCAGACACACCACTCATCTTGTACTTAGAAACAGAGTAGCACAGACATTTTTTTATTTATAATGAATTTTAAGGTCATCTAATTTAAACCCGTTAATTTGCAGAAATAGGAACCCAGCAATACTAAATGTCTTGTCCAAGCTCACACAGTAAACTGCTGGCATACAAAGACTCCAAATTCTCCATTTCAGGCTCTCAGTTGGTTAAGTATCCTACTCTTGGTTTTGGCTCAGGTCATAAACTCACAGTTCATGGGTTCAAGCCCTGCATTGGGCTCTGTGCTGACAGTGCAGAACCTACTTGGGATCCTCTGTCCTCCTCCCTCTCTGCCCCTTCCTGGTGCTTGCTCTCTCTCTCTCTCTCTGTCTCTCTCTCTCTGTCTCTCTCTCTCTCTCTTTCAAAAACAAACATTTAAAAAATATATAAAACATACTTTTAAAAAACATTCACTCTTCATTAAATGTTCATTCATTACATATTGTCAAAATTTTCCAGCAGCAGTATTCTAGATCTTCATTAGAAAACTGTGAAAGATTATATTAACATTCTCAATCATTTACTCTGCCTCTCTGTGAGAGGATTAAACCACCTTATTGGTATCAGGCTTGACTGTGTGAATTACTTTGACAAATGACATATGACTAGAAGTGAAGCATGCTATTTCTAAGCAGCAGCTTTAAAAACTATTTTATGTTTCCTCTGTCTCTCTCTTTTTCTCTCTGCTATAAGATAAGCATGTCCCAGACTGGGACTACTCCTACCACCTGGATCCCAGGATAAAGAAGAGACACAAAGAAGAGCTGAACCTGACTCACAATTAACACATTGTGAATAAGAAATAAGACTTAACTATTGTAAGCCAGGAAGAGTTCAGAGTTCTTTGTTATCGCAGCACCTCTAGTAAAAGCTGACGGATACAGTTACCAACAAAAAGCAAAAACAACAAAAATGTTTGCTCAGTCATCACAAACAACCCATCAAATCGTGAATAGAGAGACTAGCCTAATACACCATTTCTAAAGATAAGAACAAGCCATAATTCATGTTTTCTTCTTTTATGTATTCACTTCGACATTGCATAGAACTTCTTTTCCAAGAGCAGTGCTAAAAGTTGGTTGTGGGATCCCTACTGGTGCTTTTTACTTAGCTTTTTCAAGAATGCATATCTCATATCAAAGGAATCAAGACCTTTGCATGAAATTAAGATGTTCTATCTCAGCATCATTTGCTCTTAAAAAGGAGGCTAAAGAGTACAGGCCATAGAGAGGTCCAACACTCCCAGAGTCAAGGCCTTGGGGGCTGGAGGCTCAAGCTACTTCTTTTTATGCCTATCCATGATGGTAGCCATCCAACAACCACTGTCTCAGAAGCCAGCCTATAATCACCTGTATGAATCCAGGAAATAGTCCATCCTGCTGGGGTGAGTGAGGTGGCATGACCCTCAACAGAGCAAGCCACTGGTACCCCTCCCTTCTAAGACAGTACACAGAATAATACCTCATTCCACTAATATCTGTTGAATGCTTACTATGTGCAAGGCACTACTAGGCCCAAGGATTTAAAGAACAAAACAGACACGGTCCCTGACCTCAATTCATTTACATTTTAGCAGCAGACAGACAAAAACCAAGCAAAGCTATATGTACCAATTTTGTAAAAAAAAAAAAAAATTATATACACACAAACATATACATATAAATAAGATGCTATAGTAAGGGATTACAGCACAAATTGTTTTAGATAATAAAAAATCCTCTCAGAGCATGACATTTTAGCTAAGATCTGAAGGTTAAGATGAATTCAGCCATGCAGATAAAGAGCTGTGGAAAGTGTGCATCAAGCAGGGAGGCGGGGAGGGGGAGTGGATGGGGAATTGCAGAGACTCTGGGGGCATGAATGAGCATGATATGTTCATAGAACAGACAGGCTTTCAGAGAAATAGACTTGTGATTTGAGACCTAGGACCAAACTCAACATCAGAATAATCTGGACTGAGTGAAAGTAATGGAGTGGACTGTAGGGAAACAATGCCATTTACTGAAATTATGAAGAATGTTGAGCTGAGACACAGAAAAAGACACAGAAAAAGAGGAAATCAGGAACTCACTCCTAGGTTAAGTTGGTGAAATCTGTAAATATCCAGGTAGTGCCAAAAGGGCAGTTAGATACGCAAGACTGGAGCTCACAGAACTGAGCTGTGGATGCGGATTAGGGAGTTATCAAGACATGGGTGGCATGAAAAAGACAAGTTTCACATACTAGTTAGAAATTATTCTTATGGAGTCACAAATTTATTTTCTCAAATAAACTTATAACAAGAAAGCCAAGACAAAGGGTTTTAATGGCTCCTAACTAGAAATTGGGTTTATGGATTTATGCAGAAATGGAGTTATGGAATAAAGCTAGTGAGGTCATTAACAGTGCTGGTTGGAATGTAACAGCTTAGGTGCATAAATCCAATCTCCTACCCAGATATACTCCAATGTACACAATTACTTATAATAGACACATAGTAAATAAATGCAATTTCCCACAACAGATATGTAAAACAAGCTTTGCAGTAACCATAGCCTTGGGGTTAAAGAATTTATTCCATGGGTGATTACAATAAAGCTCTGTAATAAAGAAGGAAAATATCCTAGGAGATTTCTTTACCTTCCCAGAAAATAAAACAGTCAGAAATTCAATTTCACACGAAGAAGAGCAAGTATATATAGATCTAACCTTAAGAGGACTTTTAACCCACTTGACTAATACACTTTATTTGCTATGCATTTATGGCAACTATTTGTAAATCTTTTGCAACCTTG